CACTCTGGCAATGGTTTGATGTCCCACATTTGTGAGACATCAAAGGTAACTATTTATAGTGGTTACTTTCATCCTGCTCATCAGCACTACACTGATGACGCCCAAAAGGCCGAAACGGTACCGTCTGTAGTTATATATATATATATATATATATATATATATATATATATATATATATATATATATATAATATATAATATATAATATATAATATATAATATATATATATAATATAATATAGCATTTGTAAATTCTGAACGCTGATTGGATAAGAGCCGTGTTGATATAACTCAATGTCAACATGGGAAATTCTTATCCTTCGGGGCTTTTGACATTGCTATATTATAAAAAAAATATGAAACATTTTTTCCGTATTGATATATAGTTATATTAACACTCGTGGAAGTTGGGAAAACTCGAAATTGTATGAAAACACTCCGCCCTTCGGGCGTCGTGTTTCCATACAATTTCTCGTTTTCCCAATTCCACTCGTGTTGATATAACTGTATATCAACACGAAAAATGTTTTATATTTGTTAAATATATATATATATCATCGCCTGAGACGATATGGCGTCAAACCTTATTAAATTATCGTCATTTAAGGTCATTGAATTGGCTGGTTATGATCACGTGGTATTGAACAAAAATATCATAATGATTTTTTACTTAAAAGATAATTCTCACCATTGCACGAACGAGAACGGTAATTTTTGTTTTGTTTGATATCAAATTAGATCACTGCACTGTAGATTAGTGTCACACCATGTATCGCGGGCTTTTGCTATTGTACAAATAACATAATTTACATAAACATTAATTATTTGTAAATTATTTGTGCACTACATCATTCACCGTTTCTTTAAATCGTGGTTTAGGAGCATGTATTAACAATATAATTTGTACTGGCCTAAAACTGATTTCCAAATAAAGTCTGCTTATAATTACTTTTCAAAAACTCTCACCTTTTTCCATCATATTTTGATTTGAATTATTAAAATTCAAGGGTTATACAAAGATATATATTTGGCTTTATTTTTGCAACATTTCGGACAGCGGTTTGTAAAAAAACACTTCAATAAAAGCCTGAAGTACTATTTAAAACATGAGCAGCAGTATTTTATCAGATATAAAGATATGAGGCGAAGCCGAGTATCTTTAGGTCTGATAAAATACGCACAGCGAATGTTTTAAATTGCTTCAAAAACGATCGATCAAGTAAGTTCATTGGCGAAGTAAGTTTCAAAAAATACGTTGTGTTAGTCAAGAATATCAAACTTAAAGTTTATGTAAATCAAGGGAAATCTTCACCACATATAAAGATACGACACGCTTATGATTTTTGTTTGTGTTTTCTTCATGAATTAATTATTAATGAGTTTTTGAATAATAATTAAAACAAAATGAATTCTGCCTATTGGTGTTTGTACAAATGCAGTACAATTACAGGATATCTCTATAGCTATGCAACAAATTATTATTCAGTATAACCATACAAGTTTATATATTTCATTTTTTTCTTCATTTTTTATAAGGGAGACCAACGTACCAACGTGATTGGCAAAATTCTTGAACATCTGTCCAGTCCAGAGGAACTTTTTAAATATTACCCACACAGACCTGAAATGGTAAGTTTTGTTGATTAATGAAACAGTTATTTTGTACAGAGAAAACAAAACTGCCGACCGCGTTTGGTAACCACTTATACTAATTTATAAGTTATATATACTTTTATACTAAACTGATAAATATACTAAGCTTATATGACGGTATTTCCCAAACCATGAGTCATAAACTTAGTGGTAACAATAGAAAGTGCATGAGGTTTTCAAAGAACGATGCAACACTAATAGAGAATGCCCCAAAATCATAACTCATGTGGTATTTCCAATGCCATACATGATCACGAAGTGTTTTACAAACTTAAACTAAATAAATTATATTATCACCATGCAAATATACAACGAATTAATGCATGGAGTGACTTGACAACCTATTCAGTGGGTAGTCCCTTAAGGAACCTTACACCAAAATATTTTTGGTATCTAAAAGACATCATTTTCGGTCAACTTGCAGCTTGTGTTGTAACACATTATGTACATTTATAAATAAATGTCTTAATTAAAACATTGCATATGTTAAAAACATTGCTCTATAATTTTTTATATATAATTAATCTTTTTCACTTGAAACCTTTCAGATGTTGAAAGGTGGAAATTGTGGTCAAAACGACGCTGGATTTCATGTTCAGGTAAATTCTAATCAATCATATAGATCAAGCATAAGCTGTCGATCTGTACTTGGATTTACAAACACGAGCCAGCCGAGTGAGAGTGGTTGTGGATCGAATCGATCCATACACAGATCAGACTCACATTCTTTATAGTGCTTACCAAGTTCATACATTATCAAACGCTCATCGGTGTGTCGACTAGATATATTGTGAGCTGTTTTCTGTTGCAAAAATGGAACGAACTGTTATATTAATCAAGTCACGAAATTTTTTCCACTTTAAAAACTATGATTAAACATTCATTTCTTTTGATTTGCGAACGCGTAGTCTAAGCATTTTAGATATAATAAAGCGCAGAATTAGAAGTACTTTGAATAGATCCAAACACGATTACGAGGCCCCGTTCACAGGATGCTGGAAGGCTGTAGTGCATTTCCTGGATAGACAGTGATTTTGAAGACTAGAGGAGTGCAAAACCCTGAGTGCCAAAGGCAGGTGTCGCTATAATCATAATTTCCCCACACCATGCATGCAAAATCCTCAATAATATATGAATTGAATATTTGGTTCATTATGGTAACATTCGTTGTTACAGTACATTGTAAATTAAAGGATGAAAACTCGAAAGAGTCGTTCCGGGTCCAAATTACCCTAAATGTGGCATTTTTAGTGTACTGGAAACGTTTGACAAGCTTAGAGCGAACACCAATATACTTCCATGATAAAATAATTATACAGCTAGGATGCACAGGATCCTGACTTACCTGATGAGTCTGTTAAGATTTTGACAGAAGGCACAACCCTACGCTACCATCTGAGCTGCTGTAATAAGCATGCATATATATTTTGAAGCTGAATATTTTAGGGGCGTGTTGGTGGGCAGCATCAGAGAGAGACGCACCCCTGAACGCTCTTTTAAAAGTGCGCCCCTGGTTGTTTTTTTGAAGTCCGTAAAATTATACCCCTGTAATTCATTAATTAAGAGATACTATGATCGCAGCTACCACTAGTTTCCTGACTTGGAATTTGATATTAAAACATTTGGTAAAGATATAACATGGGTAAATGTAAGGATGTTGTGCATCTCACTCAATGGAACTAAGTGCTGGAGGGTTTTACGAAGATGGAAATTTTCGGAATCGCTGGGCCGCAGATTCGACTTCTGTCAGAGTTATAGTTGCATTTTCACATCTGCTCTGGTTTGGTCTCACAATATTTGTTTATAATTTCTACTCAGGATTTCCATCTTCGAAAATCCTCCAACGGTAAAAATAAAAGTGTGTTGTGAAATCACATGAATAGGCTAATATAGTGCGTTTGATTATAACTGTCCGTGTTTGCCTATTTTACCATATTTCGTCTAGCACATTTATGTGTCAGAAGATTCATGAACCAAATTAGTTTGTGGAATCGTTCGTGATTATATTGTTATGTATTTCAATGAAAATGAAATGTATAATAAAGCGATTCTTCATTTAATTACCATAGGCTGGTAACAGTTACCGTACCATGCCCTTGCTAATTTCGGATATCACAAAAACTGCGTCCCGATATACAATTATTTAATGTATTATATCTTTCTTTTTATTTTTAGTTTAGTTGTGGAAAAGACGATTCTGATCGCAATAATATGTCGAGTCCAGGTTGGTACTTCCTTTTTTAAGAACAATTCCGAAACAAATAAAATTGTTCACCCATCAAATATGTTGCTTATAAAACAGTCACGATCAGTTACGTGCGACTAATTGGAAATACACTTGGCAACATTAATTCATGCCATATAATTATCTGGCCTTTGCTTTCAGGTTTGGGAAGATAAATAAATATTATAATTAAAAACTTGTTCTTTGCTCTAGTTTAATTTCGATGCCAACATGGCACTATAAACACCAAAAATTTATCGGGATTAATTCATGATCGAAAACCCGAAAACCAAGGCAATATTTTCACATCAACCCAAACTGATGCAGAGAATGCAAATACTTATAAATAACACCTACAGCCAACTGAGATCAAGGCCTATGAAATATAATGTGCTTGGCTGTTTTAGTTCCTGATGAAGCTTCCATGCCTGATGTTAGCACTAACATACCGCAACAAAATACAGACTCGTCTTCGCAGAAGTGGAATCCAAAGAAATTTAAAGAAAAGATGAAGGCAAAATTCCAAAGTAAGGTTAGAGGTTTAATCCATTTTATTATGTAGCCAATTATTCAGTAGGTCACCTTAAACAGATGAAAAGGTTTTGATGACAGATTAATTATAACTTCCTAAAGAACGAACCAAGAGTTTGTATGCAAAACAGGGGCGTAACTCCTGGTGTGTGTGTGTGTGTGTGTGTTGGCTTGCAATATGATGCTAAGTACGAACTGAACTTAATTAATTAACATCCATAACTTTGATGGTGATATTATAATGATAGTGCACAATACGTTAGTATAATACTTGTGTAGAACTGCTGAGCACGTCCTACTTGTTGGGGAGATTTTGATTTTTTGGGCAAGGCCCAAAAAATTTTTTCAGTTGTTCAAAGTCATACTTTGTTTTTAAGGTTTTTATAATTTTTTAAGCAAAAATGTTAGGGTTGATAAAGTTGATAAAACGCGGACCACCGCGGTCAAACGTCTGCGTCAGTGTCGACTGCTTGTATTCGACTGGAAATAGTATTGTCTTCACGAAGCTCTACCAAACTGTAATGATCATTAAAAAAGGTCATCAGTTTAGGTCAAAAGTTTAGATTAGTGTCAGATTAGGATTAGATTAGGGTTAGATTAAGATTTTATTACGGTTAGATTGAGATTATATTAGGGTTAGAGTAGATTAGGGTTAGATTCATATCATAGTAGATTTGTGAAAAGATGTAATTTATGGGATATGACAATTAGTTTTCCGAATTAAGGTCTTTGATTGAATCAGGAACATGCATGTTGCGACTTCTCTGATTCTAGCTTGCTTGCTTCTTTTCTAGAAGAGCAAAAAGTACGAAAACTTTGGTGATTCAAAAAAAGGTATATGAGTCACGAAATAATCATAATTCCACCGGTATGTTTGTACTATTATATAATTATGGCATTTACAAGTACTGAGAACGTACATTTAGTGTTGTGTAACTGTTTGAATTGCAATACATTTCATTATATACCAAGTGTCGAAGTTCATGTTTTCGTGCATCTCTTTGGACGAGAGAATATCACGTGAAAGTCACGCAATTCGACTGTCTCCTATCAATAAGCAGTGGACATTACTTTCACTCACCGGTGAATAATAAAATCGTGCAGTTGTAAAGGAAAACAGTTGTGAATTTTCCCCGTTTCTTTTTGTTTCTTTCTGTTTGTTTGGACGCATGGTATATTATAATAAAATACTTGTATTGACTGGGTCTTTCGGGAAATAGTATGTTTTGTCGACCCTCGACTGCAGATGTGGCGTCGGGTCCACAAGACATACTGTTTTCTTGCTCCCAATCAATGATAGAGTGTTAATTGCGGATTGGGCATTAAATTTTTATCTAGATTTTTAAAATAGCATGTGTTAATTGAGCAACTACTTCCTATTCAAAACGTTTGGATTGGTAATAGTAGAGTATAGCAATGTGAATTTCGCTATACACAGCCTTGATTAATATTTAGTAACAAGCTAAATGAAGGAACGCTCAAAACTGTGGAGGAACGTCTTTTATAGAGTTTTGTTTCATTATTTCATGTTTCTCCAGCGACATCATAATTAAAATGTGAATGCACTCCTTTGCGGGCTTTAATATAAAATTAAACAAGTTAATAGTACAAAACATTCTGATACATGCATTGAATGGGAAAGCTGTGTATGTTTTACGCAAAACTTGAGCAACAAAGTCATATATAAACAGTCAAAACTAACTATACCCTATACTTCAGGATTTGTCATCAAATTAATTCTTATTGTTTCTTTAAAAATTGGAAAATTGGTTTTACAATTTATTGTGTGAAATGGTTTTCCAAGGCGATTTCTTACATATTTTGTAAATATTTGCCTCCTTGGCGCACCTGGCAAAAAGCCATACTTTTGAGATCTAGTGCAAACTGATCTTCCGGCAAAACTATGTAATCACGAAATTTCACACATCGTTTAATCCTAATTTTTTATGTACTCAAATTTGAAAATTTTGTGGCAATTGGATGGAATTATAGTTTTTTTAAGTTATTTAAATTATTTCTTTATATATAGTCACACGGTAATGTTAATTCCTAACTGTCTTAAAAAATTCTTGTAGAGTCTAATTTCAATAAAAGCAAGTGTTCTGTCGAAGGCATAAAAGAACGTGGTAATCATTGTTTTGAAAATGTGAAGTCATGTTTGGAGACAAAAGTACTGGGCCAGGTATGATAATTCAGAAATATCTTGGCCGTTAAAACGGACTAGTCTGGAACAAGAGAATGGTTTACGTCTGAAGTCAACAGAATATAATTTGTCATGATTTTAAGAATTGCTAAATAAATAGAAAAGCGTGTAGAATGGAAGACGGTGTTCTATTTCATCCTCAGAGATATGAAAAATAAGTTAATTTGCGCGGAAACGCTATTTCTTGCATTTTTATAGAAACGTTTTATGATAATATGAAAGTCAAAGTTTTGAAATATATATTAAGTCATAGATCATGAAAACACGCTCCCAAAGTCACGAAGATAAGTGGGAAGGTCCGAACCCCCCCCCCCCCCCCCCC